TGTGTCCGCGCAGTCCCGGCTGGGAGCGGCCTGTGGGGCAGAGGGACACTGCGGGCTCTGGCCATGGGAAGCGGATTATTTATCTGCTTCTTTGTCCATTTTTAGGAATTTCAGGTGTTTTTTGGTTTTTTTTAATTTGGTCTTCGCGGAGCAGAAATGCTCCTCGAGAGCGGGCTGTGCTACCCCGTGAATGACACATCGCTTTTAGAGAATCAGCTTAAAAATCAGATTATTTTTTTCCCTCCACTGCACCCTCCAGCAACAATCATTGCGTTGCGGCTTTGCCCTTCCAAGCCCGTGGCTTGTCTTATCACACGACACATTCATTGCTCTCGGATGACATACAGGGGAACAAAGCAAAAATGCAAGTGACAGAATTTTTGGGTGGAAACAACCCAAAAATTTGCTGTAGTAGAAGTTGTACCTGGAAACAAAAAAGTGCTGAAAGCAGTGAGCCTCACCACATGGAATTCCTTCGTGGAGTTTTGTGAACTCTTGTTGTAGTTGTGCTGCACACGCAAAAAAATGTGTAATTTCCCTTCTCCGAGAGGGAGGAAAGGGATTGAGTTTTGTTTGGATTAAATAAGAACAGTGAAGGCAGAAAAGCTTGTTGATCAGAGAAGGCACGATGGTACCTTACTGCAACCATCATGTTCTGTAAAGTAGTATCATTTTTCTCAGAATGCCATAAGGAAATCGTTGCCTTTGAATATTTGTATTTAACATACATTTTAAAAGAAACACTTGATGTCCATGTGGGTAGAGAGGTCTGTAAATCCTAGTATAAACCTATATCTTTTATCTGCAGGGAAAATGAAAAGCAATCATTTATCTAAACTTGAACACTGCACTTGAAGCTGAGATACTGTGGGTTATCTAAGTAAGCGCTTCACCTCTCAACCTAAAAGCTGATCTCAAATTCCACTCTAATGCATATGTTGCTCAGATAGTAAGAGCAGAGATCAGAAGATTTGCTATGGATGCTTCAAAGTACATTTTGGGACCCAGTGCCCTGCATTGAACTTCAAGAGATGATGCATAAATTGAATAAAGCCGTGGAGGCTGCCAGGGGAAGATTGAAAAATACATTTCAATCTCCTCTCATATATTTTATATAATGTTGCAAACTACCTGCCTTCTCAAGGCCATGCCTTCTGAGATTCCACAAATGAAAAAATGCTGTATCACTAAATTTTTGATCTGATGAATGGCTGAGAACTCTTCTTTATCTTTCCTTTCTTTCAACAAATTAGTATGACTAATTACTTTGTTTTCTGTTCAGAAGTAGCATCTTCCCCTTTGTTTGAAGAGAAGCTGTGTTAGGATTTTCACAGCAATATTTTGCAGCAGACAAACCTGAGATCAAAATATTTATTTTAGCTTAAAAAAAAACCCCAACAACAAATATTCTGAAAACATAATTAATGACCATAATTTTTTTCTCATGTCAAGAACGATCAATTTACCAATTTCATATTTGGCTTGTAATTAGACACAAATGAAGATTTGAACATCAGGCCTGTGACTGTTCATTAAAATAATTTAATGAACCTTGTGGTCTGCATAGTTAAAAATCAGAAATTGCCTTCCAAGATGGTGAAGTTGTCCCATACCTTTATCCTTAACTTTGACAGGTTCTACGCAGGACTGGAGGCATGCTCACTGTGAAAGGCACAGTGCTCTCTAATGAGCTGTTACAATCACACAACTGAAGCTAATGAATTTCTTATCCTCTTATGTGGATAAAAGTTTCTGTTAGAAGTCAAAAGATCTCTGCTTTTTAAGTGGATTCGTATTTACATTTGGGGAGGGAGGGGAGGAAAGGATACTGCAGTGAGTGGAATTCATTGTATTCTTTTTAACAAACAGTGCTGTGTGGCAATAACAAAACCATCACAATTCATAAAGAATCTTCACATGCTCCATTTGAAGTGTGGAATGCTCCAGGGCAGACACATGGATCCACAGGCACAGGTGGAAATAGGAGCTCACGCTTGAATGAGTCAAGTGAGTCTGTGCAGGAGAGGGGACCCTGTCCCCCCTCACATCCGTGAGTGACTCTGTGTGTGGGGAGGAAGGCTCAGTGCTGGCAGAGGACCCCCACCTGTGTCACTGCAACACAGTGTGAGGAATAATCTGTCACTTCATCTGCAAAGGCTGAAATCTTCATTTGTAAGGGGGTTTTCTGATGCATCAGTCCTGAGCTTCACAGTGGTGAGGTGCTGTAAGTAACAATACTGCACACTTAGAAGGGATCTGGAAGCACTTTGTAACCATTTACTGCTCACACCTCACAGCATCAGAGATATTTCACCTAGGCCATAAAAACTATGTTGTTCCACGTTTAAGTGCTACTGCCCCTGTAGAAACTCTGTGTAAGCTCAAGAGCTGGAAGGGAAAGTCCTGAATTATTTCACTCTGAATTGCAGACTCAGTCTGAAGGCAAGGGGTGCCTTAAGAAAGGAAGGCAGGCAAGGCAGGGAGGGAAGGGAGGAAAGGGGAAGGGGGAAGGGGGAAGGGGGAAGGGGGAAGGGGGAAGGGGGAAGGGGGAAGGGGGAAGGGGGAGGGGGAAGGGAAGGGAAGGGAAGGGAAGGGAAGGGAAGGGAAGGGAAGGGAAGGGAAGGGAAGGGAAGGGAAGGGAAGGGAAGGGAAGGGAAGGGAAGGGAAGGGAAGGGAAGGGAAGGGAAGGGAAGGGAAGGGAAGGGAAGGGAAGGGAAGGGAAGGGAAGGGAAGGGAAGGGAAGGGAAGGGAAGGGAAGGGAAGGGAAGGGAAGGGAAGGGAAGGGAAGGGAAGGGAAGGGAAGAAGGAAATGAAGCCTTGACTACAATTTTGTGTCCTGTACATGGTCTTGAAGTGTTTCAAAAGGAGTTTTCAATCTTGCCAATGAGTTCACATGGAGGTTCTGGGCATATGTTAACTCATGCTGCTGAATTAGCTTCTCTGCTCAGCAAGTGGAGAATTATTTTCTCTACTCTTGTCTTAGAAGTGTCTGCACATCTCTTTTGAGCAGTTTGCTGTTTGTGTCATTTAAAATAGTGAAGGCTGAAATTGTAGGATACCTTAACAAGTTAAAAGTATTTACTAGTTACATCCTAGGTCCAAATTCTTGTTACAAAGTAAGCAGCTAAACCACGCTTATTTCTCTAGGGTCTACTTTGGAGGTAGCAAAATCTTGATCATTGAGTTCAGAAGGAACTGCAACCCCTATCTGAACAAAATTTGACCCAAAGACTTGAAAGAGCAGAAGATACCTATGAAAAGGTGGCTCTTGACTCTAAATTCCCCATTAGCTCCTTAAAGATCTGCCCAGAGACTAATTTAAGGACAGAAGCCCAGTCATGGCCTGACCCAAAGCCCCTGAAATTCAGCCAGAATATATGATTTATTTCAAAAGATTGAGATCAGACTCTAAAGGAGCTACCTGCAACAATTCAAACCCCAAACAACAAGTAGGATAGGTGATTTTATTTATTGTTTCTTGTCTGACAACACAGAACCTGAATTTTTCAATGTATTTCACATGATGCTTGCTTTCTTAAAGTACTTCATGGAAGCATTTTCCCCAAATTTTGGCTTGATGTACAGGGAGAGGTCAGTGGATTTGCTGTGGATTTGCAGTTGCACTGAGAGTGTCACCAAAACCTCCAAGTGGCTCAAAACCTGTACTTCAGCACTTCACTTTTATTTGGATTTTAAAGCTTTGCTCAGCTAATCCTACTGTGTCCCAGCAGCCTGGAAAATCCCCAGAAAAAAATAACCCTAGGGACTCCCCTTTTGCTATTGTCTCTTTCCGAAAGGGGCCCAGGTAGTGACTTGTGAGTTCCCTCTGCACAAAGCAGAGAGAGGAAAAAAGAACTAATCTCCCCTGCCCCCCGTGTGCGAGAGAAAGCCGGGGCTCAGCAGCGTGTGTGCGTCCCAGCGAGAGCGGGGCTGGGGCACAGAGTGACCTCCGGCTGCCTACCCGCCACAAAGGGACCATGGCATTGACACAGCCTGACTGCTCTCCTTCGGAGGGGACAGATTGAGAGGAAGTGACCCTTGGTGCCCCCCTTCTGCAGGGGACCTTGTGAAATAAGTGTTGCTCTTCTCTTCCTTCCTTCCTCAGGCAGCTCAAAGAATTTAACGATGAGAAATCGCTCGCTTTTACTTCATCGTTCAAAGAACAAGCAATGAAGAGAGTTTTTCCTTTAAAAGGATGAGGAGGAAGTGTAGAGGAGTTAGCCTTAACTATTTACTTCTGTCTTGGGAAATCCAAAACTGGTCCACAGGGTTCACGGATGACAGGGCAGCAGGCAGCAGCAGCAGGAGCTCTGGGTGAGGCTGTGGGAGTCTGGCGGGGGTTGTTTTCTAAGGGGACTCATAAAACGATCCCTGTGGCCCCATTCCCAAGAACCAGGAACATGGGGATGTTCAGATCTGTTTAACATAACTCCCCAATGGCATCTGGTTAATTCCAAGCGAAATCCAAGTGAAACCCAGATCTGGGAGGACAAGAAGGATTCTGGGGGCTGTGAAAAGGAAAAGGCTGATTTGAGGGAAAGGAAGCAGAAATGGTTAGGCCCATGTCACAGCTATGTGATCAATCTCTGCCCATCCATGCTGAAGTTCACAGTGCTAAACTTAGAACTCAAGGCCAGACCTGGGTAGGTTTGAGTATCAAGGTCCTCTGAGGGGCATCTGGGGGTGTTCAGCCTGAAGAAGAGGGGAGCCTTATCGCTTCCTACAACAGGGGAGGTTGTAGCCAGATGGGGGTTGGTCCCTCCTCCCGAGCAAAAAGTGGTAGGACAAGAAGAAATGGCCTTGAGTTGTGCCAGGGGAGGTTTAGATTGAGTATTAGGAAAAATTTTCTTCAATGAGAGTGTTATCAAGCAGAGGCTTCCCAGGGATGTGGTGGAGTCATCATCCCTATAGGTATTTATAAGACATGTATATGTGGCACTTAAAGACATGGTTTAGTGGTGGACTTAGCAGTGCTGGGCAAATGGTTGGACTTGATGGTATAAAGGTCTTTTCCAACCTAAGCAGTTCTGGGATTCTATGATAAACATTTCATGCACAGCCCTGGTTCACATCTCCTGGCTGTTGAGGGACAGTGGGTAAAGCACATGGACTCGGTCTCTCCTCTCCCGCTCCAAAGGAGTTTTAAATGTCTCTCAGATGCACTTGGGGTAAGTTGGGGAGGGAGGGAATGACCTTTGGATTCTCCCTCCAGAGGGAACCTGAGAAAATGACCTTTTGGCCTTTAGCTCTGCAGGGGCTCGGGAGAGGTCGGGAGGAATGACTCTTGGTCCAATCTTGCTCACCACAGGGGCTAGGGGAAGGCAAAAGAGAAGGAACTCCAAGAATATGTGATCACAAGAATTTCTGTCATCTTCTGAAAAAGAGGCATGTTTACTTCATAGCCCCTGTAAGAAAAATAACCTGCCAATGAGAAACAAGCAAGTCCATTTAAAGCAAGAAAAAGCCTCAACACAGCGACCTAGAAATCAATGTCAAAAGTAAAAGCTGATAAATAAATAAATAAGTAAATAAAATAATCAGGGATGTCGTGCAAAAATCAAGGGGTGCCCTCTGAAGAGGTGTAATCAAGGCTCTGAGCCTTCAGTTATAATGGTTTTGATTAAAGAAAGCTGTGCAGAAGTAATCTTATTTTATTTTTAAATGGCCTGATTTTCCATCACTACTCTCTTGGAGACTGAACCTAGAACAATTTGGAGGAGGACATGAAGTGTTCAGTGAAAAACACAAGAGAAAAGTTATGCATTTAATAAAAAAGAAAACCGACATCTGCTTAAGTTACTTTTGGGGTTTGATGGCACACATTAAAATTCACTGAAAATAGCAGTGCTCTGATAAAATAAAAACATGAAATCCTGGCTGATCAAGCCACACAGTTCTGCACTTTTCCCCCAAAACTTGCAATATAATTGCAAGCACAGTTCTCTCCCAGAGCTGGGGATGGGGCTCATCATGTGATGTATACCTGGGGGTTTATTTACTCTTTTTAGTCTTCCCAATATATAAACCTGAAAAACTTCTACCCACAAACTTTATATTTATTCACAATTTTGAACTCTTCACTTGTTTCCATTATAGCTGAAAAACTTCTTCAAGTTTGAAAATCTGCTCTTATATAGGGTCAAGCACATTTTCTTTCTTGATAAATAAAGACAAATAGTAGAAAAGAACGTCAAAAGAATCCCAGCTTGGGAGGGAGGGGAGGGAAGTTTACATTTTCTTCCTCAAGAAGGTCAGATGTTTATTCAAGCCTATCTGAGCCTTTTGAACAGAGCCTGGGCTGTGCTGGAAATCTCCTGAGAGCTGCGTTCCTTAGAGAATGGAAGGGACTGCCTTCAGAAGGGCTGGCCACAGAGTGCTCTGCTGGCTTCAGAGCCTGGCAGTGCCAAAGGTGCACTGAACACAGGGTGCAGAAACACTGTCAATGCTCAGCTCTTTCCTAATTTATTTCTTTCATTGTTAAAATAAGCTGCATAAACTACTAAAGCCTGGAAAAGCAAAGGGAATCCAAAACTTCTACCAAGTGTGCAACTTTGGTTTGGTAAGTTACGTGTTTTAGTGGAAACCCAGGCCGCATCTTCATTTGCCTGTGGTCAAATTTTTTGGAAGATAGAGCAACTTTGATTGCCATTGGTTTTCTTTTGATACCTCTTAATGCATCAAGCTTACAATAGTGTTATTTTCATATTGGAAGTTTGACATACAGACTAATGTACACAGAAAGAAAGACATCATTATGCAACTTTGCCTATAAAAGCTTCAACAGCACATTTACAGCACAGCAGAGCTGTTTAAAGCTGAAAATCTTAACACTCCTTCATGGGAGGATGGCTGTAAGCACGAGCACAGACAAGATACTGATGTCCTCTTTGCAAAGGTAGGCAAGAGCATTAGACAGTGCCTGCAGCCACAGCTTCCCCTGCCAGGACTAGGAAATGGAAGTACTTCTCTCCTAATAAAATACAAGAGTCCAAACAGACCTGCAAAATACAATTTTTGTAGAGGCTTGGAAATTATCTTTGGCCACAATGAATGGGCAAAAGCTTATTGTGTCCTCCAATCCCCAGTCATAATTAACATTTGATTTCTAAAAGCAATCTTGTATGTTCTTTGCAGGAACAGCATGTGTTCTCTGTTCAGAGGAAATCAAAGTTGTATGATGTTTACATTTCAGCAGTGTGCTTCAGAGAACAAATTCAGTCACTCAAAGCAGAGCTACTTTTAAATAATATTAAGATAAAAAGGAAGTTGTGGAACAGAGGACCAAATGAAGTTACATTTCTCACCTCTTCAAATTACTTTTATAATATGCTGTCTGCTGCTTTAGCTTCTGAGGTCTGCAGGTAAAATAAGGGTCTAAACCAGAAGTTATTTAATCCACTAGTGAGGAATAATGTCATGGCACTCATGACCTTGCCTGTTTCTGGACCGTCCCTTTCCCAAACTAACACTCATCCTCTGCAGCCGTCTGGGAGCATCCAGCACAGCAGCCATGCAGCACTTTTTCTGCTGGGAGAACATTTTACATCTTTTTAAAAAACCTTTTACCAGGTATTTATGCACGGATGTGCTGCCCAGTCTGGGGACAGTTATGGGAAAGAACACCAGATGTCATTTATAAGGCCTGTGGTACCCTAAGGTTGCCTCAGTTATTTCTGCAAAATGCTGAACCATGCTGTGTAGACACATCTTTGTGTTGCTCTTCAGGAGAAAATTTACTCCATAATGATGAGGAAAAGCTGAACAAAATGTGATTTATCTGGAAATAATGTCCTTTTTTGTCCTCTTAAAGTGACAGTTTTTTTGTGGAAACAAGAGCCCTCTTTCACAAGGTTTAGCCAGAAGGAGAAAAACAGTCAACTCTAAGAAAACACAGTCACTTGAAATAAACTAGAATTCACAACATAATTTTCCACATCAGTGTCATGTACAAATGCACTGGACAAATATCCATGTTCATTAAGGAGGGAGAAGTTGCTTGGGAGGTCACCTACAAAATTCAGACTTGGTTTCAGCAAATTATTTTTCTTTTGGTTTGTGCCCCAGGCTTATTTAGTTTATGTGAACACTTTACAGGTTATGCAGGGATTCCTGGAGCTCACATTCCATGTAGATGAAATGTAAATCCACTGAATCTTTGCCACTGATGATGAAAAATGTGTTTAGTACATTATTATTAAGTGAGAAAAAGCAATGTGTGATGAAAATCCATGTCTTTGACACCATTAAGATTCTTTCTGTTAATATTGGTGAGCAGTGGCTGTAAGTCTGTGTGCATTTGTGTGAACAGCATGAAAAAGAATAAAAAGATGACTGGAATCACAGAAGTGCAGGGATACTAATACAACCACCACAATCCCACCAAGGGATTGGCTGCCTTGGCCCTGGCATGTGCTTTTGCCAAAATACCACTGAGCAGTGCATGTTTGCTGGGTGAGTATTGTAACACATCCCAACATAAAACAGAGAGGGGGCATTCCGTGACACATTCTGATTAATTGGTTAACAGGAGCCTCCTCGTACTCATTGCAGCTATTCAGCCATATCACTCTTAAAATCTGAAAGCACAATTTTATCTGAGAGTCCATATGGCTTATTAGGAAACTGTGCATATAGAAAACTACCACTATCCTGAACCAAGATAATATTTATCTAATAGACCATAACAACTCAGAGACAGTCAATATGGTCTCTCATTTGAGCATGCATTTTGATATGCATTCTACCTATGCAAACACATGTCATTTACATTGCAAGCTATCTGTCTGGTAAATCCATGTTTAGGAAATTCCTATAACAGTGGGCCTTTTTCACCAGAGAGATTATGAAGATGACTTGAATGTATTGTAGTCCATGGGCTAATTTGGAAATTACTGAGTATTTGCCTGATAGATTGTAATGGACTGTGATGGAGCTGTTGGCTTTTATCAGCTAAACCCATATTTTGGTATGTAAGCAAATTTGAAAAAGCAAAATATTTGCAGAATAATCAACCAGGCTGCTCTGTTTGACTAGCAGCATCCTGCCTGCTTTGAGCCACCAGGCTGATGGAAAGAGGAACTATCTGCTACCAGGGCACAGACCTGGCAGAAATGAGCCATTGCTGTAAATTCTCTCATGTCCCTTCAACTCTGAGCAGCCTGAGAGTGTGGAGAGCAGATTGCTGCAGGCTAATGGCTGAGGAAAAGTGAACAGGTAACCCTGCTCACTTAATCCTATACAGTTCTGCAGAGAATATCCTATGGTGAAGCCGTGGTTGCCCTGAGAGTCCCAAGCAGATCCCTGGCTGTATGTCTAGAAAGCATTTAACAGGTTAGTTAAATAAGCTTAATCATCCTCACACTCTGTGCTTTCTATTTTCCTTCCATTGGAAAAGCAAAGGAAAATAAAGATAAAAATGGAGAGAAGGCAGAGAGTATTGGAATATGGAAAAAGAAAAATAGCAACTAGATATTGTTTAGGTTTTATTTCAGTTTGGATACTGTTCAAAGTGAAGGATCAGACATTTTTCAAAGAACACGGCGTTTTGTGAAAAATACACTCAAAGAGATTTTTTTTTTTCTTTTAAGGCAGCATTTTTGGCAAATCCCAGCCAAGAAAATTAAGTCTTCCTGAGGAAGGATTGCCAAAATCACAGTGGCCCCTCAGCATAAGCTCTGAGAGGCCACAAAAAGAGGGACGAAGGTGTCTTTCCTCTTCACTGAATGTAGAGGGACCCCACGTGGCTGGTGTAGACTATATGCCTGATTCCTAAATTACTCCAGTTAAGGGAGTTGCAACCTACTCAAATTCTGCTTTTTCACCAGATCATCTCATTGAAGAATAAAGGGAAAGCACTCAGGCAGCACCAGCCTTTCCCACAATTTTCTGTAAGTTACCACAGTGGCTCTCCCCATATATCAATGTGGACAATCCCTTTGATTAAATTGATTTCAGTCACATTTATACCATCTTCAAATCATTTGGTGGCATTTCCAGTAGAGGCAGGAGGTGCTGACACCGGGTGGAGCAGAGAGGGAGTTATTCTGTGTTGGAGCCACACAGAGAATAAGTGCTACAGTTTTGTAGCACTGTGCAGGGAGTTGCAGTTATTATCATTATGAGGCATTTATGAACTCTAAACTAAAATTCTGATAAATAATGTAAACTGAAATGCAAATTATTATCAGATCTCATTTTTCTGGAGTATCAGTAAAATAGCAGTTGACATGGTGCCAGTAAGATAGAATAATGAAAGGTAGTATTTAATTTCCTTGAAAATTTATTTAGATTTGATTACTGAGAGTCTGTAGTCAGCTGTTAAGCTGCTAGAAAAGTTTTCAAGACCTACTAGATTGACTACATAACCCAAACCCTTCCTATTAGCTAAATAATCTTTATTCCTCTGTAGCTATTAAAGAAACTAGTTGCTGTGTGGCAGAAATGAAGGTGTTATGAAGAAATGAAGATTCTGAGCATAGAGCTTGCACAAATCACTGCA